AAACAGGGTTGAATGCATACCCTCTGCAACAAACCTTCAGTTTTGGCAGAAGCACTTATGATCATAGTGATTATTATGCATACATATATTATTGAGATTCATGATATACAATGGTAGTTGTAAAACACCCATCACAAGGTACATTTTGACATACTACATGCCTATGTTTTGATAGGTTTATAAAAATATGTTTTTCTCACATTGGTTTTGCAGCTCGACTATGGGTACCGATGTTCAGTTACCCCAGAATGACACTTATAATCATCAGAAAAAATGGAACCATGTTTTCTGAATCCATATGCAATACTGATCACAATTATCAGTGGTTCCAAAAATTAACATACACTTCCCAGGGGAAGCATTTTTGCTACATAAGCCCCTATTACTGGAGGTTATTACAAAATGAAGATAGAGTCCCACAATCTTGGTTGGTCAACTTAAACAATGTCCCACACCATCTGGGTAGGATGACTCAGTGTAAACCAAGGCACTATCTGCCCACACCACCATCTGGGTAGGATGACTCAATGTAATCCAAGGCACTATCTGCCCACACAATCTACATCAGATGTCTCTTACAGGGACTGGGATAGAGAACTTTGACAATGGGCCATTTTCAGGATTATTAGCCATTTTCTGAAATAAGAATGGGCCACTGCCCTTGTATCAATAGTAACTTCGAAATTCTGATGGGACATTTTTTATTCTAAGGAGCAAAATGACCCATGGCCCCCAGCATTTCCGATCCCCTGCTCTTACTACAAACAATTTGTGTTGGGGACTTACTCTTGACCCATTCTCATCAGGGTCAATGTTTGTAAAGGTGTCTGCATCTTTCCAACTAACTAGCACAATTCCTTACCCTACTGTCAAAGGTAAATATTTGTATCAAGAAACCTGCCCACTTTGATAGTTCTTGCTTGGGTATCTACAGGCCAACTTGGACCTGTGAAGAACTGGGTTAGAACTGGTCCTCAGTAACCCATGCTTGTCGGGTGGTCAGGGTCACTGACTTGGTTGACATGTCATTGTATCCCATATGCGTAGATTGATGCTCATGCTGTTGATCACTGGATTGTCTGGTCCAGACTCGATTATTTACAGACCAAACCAAACCAAGCCAATCAGGTCAATTTGCAAGTGATGTTGAATGACTAAAAGCCTTAGGTACATACTTGTGTCATGCTAGTAATTAGATCTGGTGACATGTCGTTTAACAGGTTAAGATTATTACACTTATATAATGACATATATACATGTGTGTGTGTGTGTGCTTGCGCGTGCGTGAGTGCACTTGCACTGACACTCTGCCAGGTCTATAGCATATCCCACGCCAGTTTAACATCAACACACCACAGTATGCCAACACAGGCCGACCTGTCCTTGTTTTATTCCCTAAGTGCTGAGTGCCAGCCTGGGTAACGACAAGTACCATGTTTTAAAGTATTTTGGTATTAGACAACCAGGGATTCAGACACAGTATGCCAACACAGGCCGTCCTGTCCTTGTTTTATTCCCTCAGTGCTGAGTGCCAGCCTGGGTAACGACAAGTACCATGTTTTAAAGTATTTTGGTATTAGACAACCAGGGATTCAGACACAGTATACTGACACAGGCCGACCTGTCCTTGTTTTATTCCCTAAGTGCCGAGTGCCTGAGTATCAACAAGTACCATCTATATAAGTTGTGGGTATTAGACAACCAGGGATTTGAACCCCGACTTGCTCTACAGGCAAGTGCTCTATCCACTTGACCATGGGGGAGATCAAGTGATCTTGAAGTCGAAGAACTTTAAAAAACACAGAAACAATATTGTATGAAAAAAGAGTCATTTTAATTCACAATGTATAGATGCATACAAAATGTTCAAAATGCATTACAAAGTTCTGAACAAAACCTAATTGAGGAAAGTAAACAAGCACAGATATAGTTGTGAACTGGTACAATGTATCCACATAGGCTGACAGAGGGACACTAGCACATATACATAACATTGATGCCAAGACAGACGCCTGGCGAGGCAAGATATCGTCACCAACGCTGGCTCGTTCTCCTTCGCAATCACACAAATACCAGAGTCCTTTATTCCATGGTCCTTTGTGTAACAATAAACTTTGTACCCCAGCATCAGAAGCTAATGAGCCATTATGAGAGAGAGAGGAGAAATGTACATAGTTTGTTTTGGTACTATTACAATCAAGTTATGAACAGGGGTTTATCTGTCAGAATGCACGCAGATTTAGTAAGTAACTCTTCATTTTGGTCATGGTGGCATTCCATCAAATGTATTCAACACAATTTAGGTTATCAACATGGAGATTGTTTCAAACCAGCCACCTTTACTGAGCCATGTTAAGATTCACCTGTAGCCAGTCCCTGGAACTTAACATTTCAGGGGACTACTCTTTGTAGATACAGATTTAAGACACTCAAGATGTTATCTTGTCTGTAAGTTAAACAATGACATATATCGAACAGTGATTACTGTACGATGTATCAGATTGACAATAGTCATCAATTCTGTCTAGATCATGAAACACAGACCCTCCTGATTTTGTCTTAGACACAACTAGACCCAATGTCTTAAACACATGGAACTCAATGGTCAATGCCCCTGACAGACTTGAACCTGTTTACCCGCTGTCCCAACGATACAATAGAACAGTGGTGTGAGAGTATGTCACATATATGAGAAATTAAATACCCTTGTTTTGGTGCAACACTTCCGCCCCAAAGCACCAATTTGATTGGATATCTGTGATGAGTTGTGTCGAGATGCGTGAATACATCGTGACACATCTTGATACAGAGCCCCGAGCCGGGAGGTAATAGCATAATAAACTACAATACATTACTACATCAGCTGTAGCCTGTAATACAGTGTGAATATGTCTGTAGGTAAATAGTAGGCCATGGCAGTCCAGATGATAACATAGCTTGTCAGCTCAGCACTTTCACTTGCGTGCACATCTTTTATAAGTTTGAGTGAAAAAGTAATGCAACAGTGTTCTCATCTTAGACCATCTTGATTATCCAGCATACATCTTCATTCTATGACCATAAACACCCTTGACCTTCATTGTCATTCCCAACTCCCTGAGGAGAATCCATCCAGAGTACATATCAGAAGAAGATACACCTCTAGAGTAATGGCGTCACAGTGAGGTCCAGGGTATATATGAGAAAAAATGGAGTCAATACCTGGATTAATGAGTATGATTGTAGTCTAGACGAACATTTATCTACTTGTCCCCACAACAGGTAAAATGGTTTAATGAGAAAATAACTGGTGTTGTGCACTTTGGACCAATACAGTGTAAGAAAATAATGCCACTGAAAGCACCTCTCGATTTGACAGCACTAGACTTGACGTCATGAAAAACCAAATGATGACAATAGCACGTAAAAACACTTCAAAGGCTGGGCTCAAAAAGCTAAAATGCTCAAACATTTGGAATGTACCTATTTCGGCACTTTAAATAATCGTTGGGTCCACAAAATCATGAATGTTTTTGAAAATATTGTTCCACTTCCATGATAGAACGGTAATTCACATTAAGCAGAGCAAGAAAATTGACAGGTTGACTATTGCTTCAGATTGTCTAAAGAGTTGCATGTTAGCTTACATAAGCAGTATAACTTTGAAATTGGCAGAAAACATTAATATTTACACAAGGACACATCATTTTCAAGTCCAAATTAAACATTTTGTTTATCACAAACTGTAGCAAAATCAAATTGTGAAACATTTAAAACATTCAGGGCCATTGTAAATTTAACTAAAATTTAGGAACCAAATCCATGAAAAACATCAATATTCTACAATTGTTGGGATTATTTGATTGAGGATACTTGCGTATGCTGGTGCAAGTAGTTATTGAAATTAAAGTTTGAGACAAGGATAAAACATTCTTGTATCCACTACAGGTGTAACGATACGATGAGGCCACGACACCCTACATATACCTACGATATGACTCGCAGTTCAGTACTTCTGTTCATATTGTCTCCCTTTCTGAATCACAACACTGAATCGTTGTTTTTTCAACATCAGACAGTGAATCTGAAATATTGTAGGGAGTAAGCCCATAAGTCTGTGAAGATTCTATTCATAGCAAGGGAGGAAATACTAGAGAGTCTGCATAAACTGGTTCTTGAACAGTTTCTGATATTATTCACGTTTTACATCCATATACGTCGTAATGTAATGAATCATATGATTTGTGATATAGGAGTTGTAAATGGATGCATTGTATCGTCTTAGCCTCCTATCGTGATACTATCCTGTATTGATGTATTCTATTGCCAGCCTCCTATCGCGATACTATATTGTATTGATGTATCGTTACACCATCAGTAGCCACTAGCTTTGCACACAAGATTATCAAGCTTTCTAAATTCATATTCCAGAGTTATGAATTAAAGCCATCAAAGCCAGGAAGACTGTCGGATGTGCATGCTTTTATGCTGGTTAGTACATGGTCTAGACTGACAGGCTATTCAGTCCTGAGCAATACAATATTGGGTGTGCACCACGCTTGATGCTTGTCATCATGAATACTCTTCACATCTCTCCACCGTTTTGGCATATACAATCAGTGTTGGACAATGAACAAATCTGGATCCATTAAAAGGAATCGTCTTCAGGGAAAGAAACCTTTCAAAATTTCCCACTAGACCACAGGACCAGTGAGTGGACAATAATTAGTGGTCCTGTCTGTACTTCACTGGTCCAAAATAACATTCCTAGATTTACTTAAAAAATTCACTGGCCACCAGGACCACTGCAAACTTATCAGTTAGTGGTCCTGATGAATTTTCACTAGCCAGGAACCATAGGACCAGCGTAAATTTCGCACACTGCTCTTTCCAGAACAACTCAAAACAAAGATAATTACTTACTTAATAAGGTTAATAATAATAATAGGCCATTTATACAGCACCTTTCCACGTCACAGGGATATGCTCAAAGCCCTGTTAATGTTAATGTTTTTTTAAAATCCTTCATTTGAAACAGTTCGGCACCAACTCAGAGAGAAATACTTCCCAGTGTCAGCCTTGTACAATGAAAAAGTCTGTGCCAGAAACTCCTGAAACTTAGCCTACTGTGCACTGCATTTTAGTGTTATATGGTATTATATAAACTGATATTACTGGACTGAACAAAATTTCACTTGACATGTGCTCCTATCCTGACAGACTGCTATGTTGTGTAAAGTCTGAATAGTTTCGAATTTGAGTTAAAAGTTTAGGAATAGTCTGTTCTTGATCTGTAAAACAGTAAAATTGCAGGTGCTTGTTCTGTATTAACAGATTCCTGGCAAATTCCTTATTAATGGATCCAAGTTTGTGCATTAACTCACTTGCTAATCATGTTTCCCTGACATGTCGATATGTACATTCAGATTTTAAATACTTCACTATTTACGATTCAGTAACGGAAATTCAAACTAGTATTCTAGTAGGGATTTCTATTTTTGTCATTGGAAGATATGTAAATAAGCACAAATTCTTCAGCCGTCAACACATGGACATTATTCAACTTGTTATTCACACACTGACATCAGTGAAAATATGAACATGTTTGTGACGACGCTGCGTATGTTCGTACGGCACTGGACTCACATACAATTTGTTAATAATTGCACTTAACAACACTCATGGAATTCTACAAAAGAAAATACTGAAAGTTGGTTCAGACAAATAGAGAAACTTGTAGAATGCGTGTTGAAATCAAACACTCAAGACTTGACTAGCCAACTGGTTGATGAGAGAGATTTTGATTGGTCAGTGATGAGGATGATGGCATGACCTGACCAATCACAGCTCTTCGTATTACTTTTCATGTAAGATAAAAGCTGGACCTGAAACATAAAGAGAAAACATAAAACCTGAGATGCTAAGACCTATCTATATCACAGATGATTACCCTGTGTGTCAACCACAGGGGCTTGTAACACAAAAAACGGGCATCATATCATCACTGATGACCTTGATGCCATTATTTTGCATTACAAACCCGTGGCATAAACCAATTTTAGTTATCTGCCTTTGGAAGAATTGTCAGTTGTGTGTTGTAGGTAAAATGTGTGTAAATTTAAGAAATATCAAAGGATGTAATGCAGATTAGTAATGACTGAAACTGATTAGGTTTTCGCCAGAATATTCAACATCAGTGTTGGACACAAGAGACAGAATTGATGCCTGTCAGAGAACCACTGTCTACCAACTCCCAAAATTAGGAAAGTTCAGCTCAGTGTTGGAGCAAAGAGACAGAATTGATGCCTATCAGAGATGTCTACCACTTTGGTGAAACCCTTGATCAAGGTAAGCAACTCTTAACAGTGCTGTACGACGCTTGAGGTGACTGGGCCACCACACCTGATAATTGTTACCAACATTTAAAGAGCAGAAAAAACACATGTAATGCAACATAACAATGATTTGTGATTCTGGAAGTAATTTCAATCAGACAATTTCATTGTCAACTAGATCATCTTGATTTATAGGATTTCATTAAGGAGACCTCATATTTTCAATTTAAAAAGTTTATCATAGATTAGTTACCTGTAAATTTAATTTGAAGCCAAATGCAAAAGTGTGAGGTTTATAATGAGACAAATCCAGAGGCATTCAATCACAGTTGAAAACATACTAGATCTTCATTCAGCAATTACAGAAACAATGTGATCTGTTTGGTTATATCAGAAATAATTTGTGCCATGGCATTGGTTGAGCCTAATATGCTCAGTAGGCTGAAATCTTGAACTTAGGCAACAGTGAAAATCTCTTTTATTGATGTGTTTTCTGTGTGTATTGAAACCATAACTTTCACAATTATATTTGATCAAATCCAATGAGACACAAATTGTTTTAGGACATTTTCTGCTGAGGAGAAGAATATGCAACGAATGCAGTCACTTGTACACACCTGAGAACCAGCGTCAGTTACACATCGTGTGACTTGACGTCGCCATTCTGCTGTGGTGTCCCCTTCTGTGACTCCATCTCCTTCTGCATCTTCTGGATCATCTCCTGCATGCGGCGGATCTGAGGACGAAGCACAGGTGTGGTGAGGACATGGTACAGGTGAGGTGTTAGCATATGACACAGGTGAGGACACATGACACAGCATGGGTGAGGTGAGGACACATGACACAGGTGATGAGGACATATCACAGGGTGAGGTTAGACACATGACACAGGTGAGGACATGGTACAGGTGAGGTGTTAATATGACAGGTGAGGTGATGACAAACAACACAGGTGTTTCTGGTCAGGTCAGAAGAGGACACTTGACACAGGTGAGGTGAGGTGAGGTGAGGTGAGGTGAGGTATGTACACATGGCATAGGAGAAGTGACGTGACGACACGCAACAGGTGGAGTGAGGACAGACACACACCGTGTTACCGGGTGAGGTGAGAGCAGGACATTTTAACACATGGCAAAGAGGGAGGTGAGAACACACAACAAGGGTGAGGTGATGACACAACATAGGAGAGGTGAGATGAGGACACAGTACAGGTGAGGTGATGACACAACATAGGAGAGGTGAGGTGAGAACACAGGTGAGATGAGTACAGGTGAGGTGATGACACAACATAGGAGAGGAGAGGTGAGAACACAGGTGAGATGAGTACACGGTACAGGTGAGGTGATGACACAACATAGGAGAGGTGAGGTGAGAACACAGGTGAGATGAGTACACGGTACAGGTGAGGTGATGACACAACATAGGAGAGGTGAGGTGAGAACACAGGTGAGATGAGTACACGGTACAGGTGAGGTGATGACAAGGTTCAACATAAAAGGGTTTTAAATGTTGGGAGTCTACCCCTAATAATATGGTGAGGTGATGTGGGACACAGGTGAGATGAGAACACAACAAAGGTGAGGTGATGACACAACATATTCTTTTTGAGAGGTGAGGTGAGAACACAGGTGAGATGAGTATCAAACTCTTCGTACAGGTGAGGTGATGACACAACATAGGAGAGTTCAGGTGAGGTGAGAACACAGGTGAGATGAGTAGTAAAAGCTACAGGTGAGGTTGATGACACAACATAAGAGATTTATATATGAGGATTCATAATAAACACAAAGGTTGAGTCCATTTTGAATACTGTAGAGAATGAATTACACTTTCTATTTCTTTGTCCTACAGGTGGCAGGTGATGACACAATCAAATATAATGAGAAACTGTATTCAATGTTTCAGGTAAAAGCAACACACAATATAGATGATCTATTTACAACAAAGGTGAGGAGATTCATGACGTGTGTGTCGCATGTTGGATATGTTGTGAGAACATAGGTGAGATGAGTGCCTCTGGCCTTCAGGTGAGGTGATGACACAACATAGGAGAGGTGAGGTGAGAACACAGGTGAGATGAGATGAGTACACGGTGATGACACAACAAAGGAGAGGTGAGGTGATGACACAAGTCACCCCTCATATCTTTAGGGTTTCAAGATAAACTTACCTCTGCCTCCTTCTCAGACAACTGCTTCTCTCGGTCAGAGAAGTCCTTCTCTTGGCTTTCAGGTCTGCGTGATTTGCTGAAATAATATAATGCTATTAAACAGACATGCTCACTCTGACATGACCAACTGGTGTTATCTCCTGAGCAGCTTATGAAAGCAAGTGTATCATGCATAGGTGATATCACTAGCCATGCAAATCTAAATCTCAAACCAGAAAAAATTACCAAGCCAATTATCAGTTAATATGCTGAACAAGCTCAAATTCCAATAAACTGATTAAAGTAAATAAAACTTAATATGTATACTTAAATATAGTCAAATCCTGCAGGTCCGGTAATTATCTGGTTAAAGTGTGAGTGAGTTTGGTTTCTTGCTTTTAAACAATATAATATTTGTATCACGGTGGGAGGTAGCCCCAAGTGTACTGGTGTGCCATGTTTACCACTCGGGTTAAACCGATGAGCTTGGTGCTGACAAACCCAGAAACGTAATCAGGGCAAACTGGGATTTGAACCCAGAATCACAGCTTTCTGGCAGGCTCTGTGTAGAGACTAATGACGCCCCACACGCCAGTGCCACAGTGCCCAAATGGGTAAAAGAATTCAGCAAGCCAAAATAAGTAGATTGAATGCAATAGCATATAACTTGGAATATGAAAGGCTATATGAGTAAATACGTTCATGATGGAATGTATGAGATTAATATCTATGACACCATGATGGAATGATTTCCCATGTGCATACGAAAAGATTTAGTTCGTGAGCATCGTCACGACTTCACAGGTTTGTTTACATTTCTCCATTACACATGAATACACTAGCGATATGTGACGTTTCACCTTTAGGCCAGACCAATTTTATTTCTTGATTTACGGATTTTTGTCCTCAGAAAACCTAAAGGCAGGAGGGGAAAAAAACCAAAACCACCAGTCAAAGTAACATTCCTTTTGTATACTAAAAGTATTTTATTTTTGGCAAGTTATGAAGTGTATATGAGGCAGAAAACAATCAAATAATTTTTTTGTGTAAGTTTACATTCTTTGCCAATAAAAACATGAGGATTTTATTTTTGGAGCGGGGAAAATTAATTTGTATTTTTTTTCTTATTCTTGAAAAAATATGACCGGTGGATCCGTAAAACAAGAAATAAAATTGGTCTGGCCTTAGATAATTCTGTCTGTCGAGGAGCCTGATCCATACACGAACATTGCAGCAATCATTGCCTGACATAGGAGCAAGGTGTAGACCATTGTCATGTGAGAACATCTGTTGTTTGTGTGAATGAAATTAAAATGTCCTCACGAGACTCGCTGGTTATTACTGGCCACCACTCAAAGTCCCCCAACCCCTCTGATGGTGGAATGGAGTGTACACAAACCAGTGAAGTATTGAACATGGTCCATGAGTGATGTTGCTAATTATCAACAGTGATGACAATAACATTTTAGTCTTTGTATCAGTGCAGAATTTTTCAAGTTGAGTAATTTATTCAAGGTACAAGGGGAGATCACTATTGTCCGAATATCAAAATGTTAGTAAAACTATTTGTAGAAAGAAATATAATTTAATCATTTACCAATACAAAGAGCTCAAGTTAGGTCTCAATAATTCAAAAAATTTTGAACAATATTTTTTAAAACAAACATCTGATGTTTAATAGACAAAATCATTTCTACAAGTTATTAAAACTGGTGACTCCTACATCAAAAACAGTGAGTTGATGACTTAACAAAAGATGAAATACATGACCCATGGTGTTAAAAGATGATTACAGATGTTTAGAGAAATGATAATAAGTATGTTTTGTGTTTAAAAACTATTTGATACGCATCTACACAGGACTGAATAATATATTTTCCTGTTTTAAACCCATAGTTGATTGTGGAACGATAAATAGTAAATATGTAAAGGACAAACAAATTCACATCCAGCTTAACTATTTTATGTTCTGTTTCTAATTCTATTTTCATTAACCCTTGTCCAACTTGGTAGCACACTCTAAATTATGTTTGTTCGTTGTTTAATGCCGCACTCAGCAATATTACAGCTATAGGGCGTCAGTCTGTAAATAATCATCTCTGGACCAGAAAATCCAGTGATCAGCAGTGATCGATCTAAATTATGTAACCCACATTCCATATAGTTTAGTCCTATATAAAGGTTTTAGTTTAATATGTTACAAAGAAGTAGCTTTGTTCCCAATACATGCTAAAGATGGTTACCATGGTTACAAGCATACTGAATATTCATGAGTCGATGGGAGAATGAAGGAAGCAGAGATTAGTAGAACGAAGACACAGACACTATATGGATGATGCCACCTAGCTTACCATCATTATGAACGGAGGAGGGCAAACAGCACACACAATACCAGAACAGAAGAAAAGCAGAAATCCTGGGTTAATCTCATGTAGGTATTCATACGAACATTTTACTAATCATACTCGTTTTCAACAGAAAAAGGCTAAGCATTGAAAGACAGCAAACTAAGGTAGATAACTGCTGACTGTAAACTTGGTTTAAGCAAAAGCACTGAATTAGACACTGGCTGGCTTAACATGACAAAAGTTACAGGTAGATATCCCATAACCAATGCTGAGCTCTCATATAGTACAGGGCTATACATGAGGAAACAGTGGTGTATAACGTATTATGTCATACAACTTATTTCATAGGGAACCTTGTCATATTTCTTACATGATAATATACTAGAGCATACACCTCAGCATTAACAACTGACTTGATAATACAAATAAAAATAAACTTTCAAATTATGAAAAATTAATCATACTGCAAATAAAACATAACTCTAATATCCAAATTAGAAACCTGATTGACCTCTATTACTTTAAACAGCTTATATAGTTTAAATGTTATCTACTATAAATTGAAATACATATTCATACACATTTTTTACAACACAAAAACAAATATGAAATAAGGACGACCGGTTTGCATATCAGAACTTACAAGAAAGACTCCATTACCTGCTACAAACTAACCATGAACAGTGGAACCTTGCTTATCTGGACAGCATTGCTTTTGAGACAAATTAAACAAGGGAAAGATTATCAGTAGAATCATTTGTTTTCTATGGCCAGACCACATTGGTCTGTGTTTAATTGATGAACCCACATTAATTTTACCAGTAAAGACATTTACAACAAGTAACCTAACATAATTGAACATCTGTGACATATATACAAGGTTAGTTTTAGGGAGATAACATCATTCTTTTCCTAAGGGCATTATTTTTTTATATATGTGTTTCACGTAGCCACCAAATTCTGAACATGGGTCGGTCGGGGAAACCCCCCCAAAACTTGAAGACAAAATTACCTGAATAATGTTCCTGATTCTCATTTATTCTAATTCTTATTACAGTTTCTTGCATTCTCTGGACTTGTGGCAGCGACTGATTATAAGATAAACATTTCATATGACGAGGTGGTATGTTTAAAATTTCGAGTCGATGGTGTTGGAATGAAAAAAGTTTTTGGGGTGTGTGGGGGTGGGGTGGAGGCGGCAATAACATTAGAAGGGTCGGTTGGTCGATGAAAAAAAATAATAAATAAAACTGCTGCCCTGATACTGTAAGCCTGTAAAATGTTCAACTTCTCTCTGACCTCACACAAATATTTCTAAATTGACAAGGTCCAGATAAACGAGGTTCTCCTAAACAAAAAGGAGACTGGAAGGTTCTAACTATTTGCTCAACCAAAACAATGCCAGTTCACAGAGCACTCAAAATGACACTGAATATAAAGCAAGTAAATAACATGGCACAAAATAATAATTGGGAATAAATTTTGAATAATTTTTATTAACTGGCACTGAATATGTGAGCTTCTTGAGAGGGAGTAACCAACAATTCTTCAGTCCAAGGTTCCGAGCGAACACTACCACAGAAATGCTGTATATACAAGTAGATACAAAAACAGAGAGACTACCTCCTACTCTAACCAAGGCATGTAACCTGTACAACTCGATCTCATGTTTCGTGCAGGGTGCCATATCGGAGTTGTTTACAAGTTCCTGATGAACCTCTGGATGACACTGATGCACCCTGGGATAACCTCCACAAACCATCTCAGTGTACGACTATAACAAGCCTTTCTTCAAGTATAGTTCCTGTGCTGAGACAGGTCTGTGGAAGTGGACCAAGATGATTTTTTTACGGAATGTCATGAGTAAGTTTTGGAATGATAGATTGGAATTTGCAATGAAATAAAACAAATGAACAAAATAACAAAAATAATAAAATTTAAAATTTTGAGGATCAATTTTTTGGGTCCATACTGAATGGCTTTAGAAAGATTGTCCTTAATTATTTCAAACAAAATATCTCTGAATGGTGGCAAACAAATGTTTTAAATAACGTTGATCGTGGTTGTGAAGACAGCCGAGATGGCACCCTGATTTGACTAGGTGTGGGGAACAGCCAAAGGCCATGCATACATACTTGACTCGTTTCTGTGCACCACCTGTGGCTAACCTTTCTGCTCGGAAGTTCTCGTAGTGAATTTCTTGTGTCACTTCCTGTAAATCTTGCATATGTGTTCTGAAAGGAAGAGCGATGTGTGCAACAATTTCAGGATAAACAAGACTGATATTACCAAGGGACATAACTCTGACAGGTCTATGTGTATTTCTCAACGTCGGAATAATATTAATACAGATATTACCAAGGGACATAACTGACAGGTCTACATGTATCCTATGATGTGGTTAACACAAAAAGTGTTATTACCAAGGGACATAACTCTGACAGGTCTACATGTAGCCCATGATGTGGTTAACACAAAAAGTGTTATTACCAAGGGACATAACTCTGACAGGTCTACATGTAGCCCATGATGTGGTTAACACAAAAAGTGTTATTACCAAGGGACATAACTCTGACAGGTTTACATGTATCCTATGATGTGGTTAACACAAAAAGTGTTATTACCAAGGGACATAACTCTGACAGGTCTACATGTATGCGTAAAGTCTTATACTTCAATACAGAAATTTCCAAGGGACATAACTCTCACAGGTCTAGTAAGTCCATCCAGCCCACTTTCACTGAACATGCTGAACACAATTATTTATTTAATCTCTAAGAAACATTAGCATCCCTTAACAGAATATGAGTCCTGGTGGTAAGATCCGATAAACATAGGTTCACTAGGCTGGCAGTGATCATCATCTGGGCTACCACCCGTCTGTGGGGAGGAGGGTGCAACACTTACATGAGCATGGTCCTAAGTTTGATAAAATCACAGTGATCTGGGTTCTCCACTTCCACCACTCCCCAGGGGTACATGCGACCCCTGACCTTGCGACCTTTCACCTCGATGATTGTGTTAGCACCAACAACGGCAAATGGAACAGCTTGCTGAAATGACAGAAAACAAGAACAGATATGTACACATCATATCCTGACATTTTCTACTCTTTTAGGTTATCCTTCCCTTAATTATGACATGTTCAAACACCCTCCAAATATCGGATCCACTCGGACGAAAAAGGCTGTTTTTCAGAGGCCGAGAGGTCTGTGTTATACTGATTTTACGAAACTCTTGTAAGAATTTTTGTTGTTGCTTTCGCTCTTGCTCAGGAATGAAAGACTTCTGCACTTGTTTCATAAAATCAATATGGCATACCTTTAAACTAATTCCTATCTACAAACGGTCCAGTTCTGGTACATTTCTTTCAGCCTCATGGTAATAGGCAAGGTCAAAACACTGGAGTTTCAGTTTGTGGCCTTCTCAACATTCGAACACTCATTAGTTATCTCCCTTTCACCGTTCACCAAAATCTTGACAAACTAAATTTGCAGGTATTTCATCCAAGTTTTGACAAAAGTTAGAACAAAATAGATTTAAGGGGATCTTTCTCCAATACTTTATAATTTACTAATTTAGCTTGCATTATATGTGTTGTTGGAATGTAAAAAAACAAAACCATCCTAACTTATCAAGCAGTGAGTCGGTATATTAAGATACGGCAACTGTGAACGTGAGAAGAACTTGTGGTTGATACTGTGATGCAATATATATCTTCATAGGGCTGCTATAGGGGGCCTCTACTGCTCTCTAATCCTTAAGGTGAGACAACCAGAAAGGTTACTGGGGACCTATTTTGTCCTGACCAGAGAGACAAGTGCAGCCCAACAATCCCCAAGAGGTGATCCCCAGGTCTAAGACCAAGGCTAGAAGGGGCACCTGCTGCACTGACCTTGAGCTGTCGACACTGTTCCTTGTAGTCCTCATCCTCATCCGAGTCACAGTCAGGAAGAGGGTAGATGTTGATCCCATTCTCATCTATCTGGTCCAAGATCTGCAACAACACAATCAACATCAACAGGCGAAGTGTCAGTCAAACAAAACAACTGACTGACTAAGTTTGGTTTTACGCCGCTTTTAGCAATATTCCAGCAACATCACGGCAGGGGACACCAGACATGGGCTTCACACATTGTACCCATGTAGGGATTCCAACCCGGGTCTTTGGCCAAACAAAACAAAGTAAGTAAGTTAGTTCATGTTATCATAGCAATGACAAAATGTATAGTATTTGCAGAAGTGTCTTGCATGTCACTAACAACAGTATCAGCAAACAAGTCGAGGATTTTAATGTTTCATTTTACATTTTTGCCCAGAAATCTTAAAATATCCCTGAATATTAAGAAATAAGGACATTAAGAGAAAAAAGAATAACATTTGTTCTGAATTTGTCTTCAAAGAGCTCAATGTTTGGAATCCCAGATAAAACCTCAATGATCAATTAACCCTTTGTTTCCAAGACTTCCAAATCTGATTCAAAGGCTAAGTAAATACAGTTTTTTAATCAGTTGATTCAAGGATAATCATAATTAAATATTCTGATTTTGGCCAGAGTACATTTCTGTATGCTGAAACATACCGGAGGTACTTATCTGTAGCACCCCTGCCAACAACAACCCATTGAGCTTAAATAACAGTAAACACTAAAGAAGTCCATTCCGTAGTCTGTTTCAGTCCCGCTGAAGGGGTCGTTGTCGGCACAGGTACTACAGATATGTACCCCAGGTACGCTTCTGTATACAGATATGTACCCTAAACAAAGTCAAAATACAGAAACGTACCCGGTACCCTAAAAGGCGGACGAGTCCATATTCCTCAATCCAAAACCGAAACTGCATGTAGTTGTTCCCGTTCAACTGATTGCGAGTGGTATTCATATGCATCACGAAATATCCGTTACTGTGTATTCTCATTACTTACATAACACAATCAAATGTATCTAATACAACAGTATGACAGTTCCGGTCAAGAATACGACACAATGGGATGGAATCGTCCTAGGGTATGTTTCTGTATTCTCATTATGGCCAAGGTACGTTTCTGTATACAGAAACGTACCTGGGGTACATATCTGTAGTACCCGTGCCGACAACGACCCCTTCAGCGTCAGTCCCTGAACCATATATTTTTCTTTCAGCCCAGCAATGCCTGTAAATGAAGCAAGTCTAGATTTCCGCAGGTTCTGAATCTTCCATCTGCGGGCTCCTTTTCCTTTTAAATGGAGCTATTGTTTCTGTCAGAGTTATACATTAGTCTACCCATTCATGAACACTTCCAGCCACATGGCCTGGAGAATGTCTGCTATCTAACCAGGAGGCTTTCAGTGAGGATGATAACAGGCCCCATGGAGAGTTATTTCCATCACACAGTCAACACACTTCCACATGTGCCATGGTCACTGCAATAGATCGGCTGACATTATCAGCTGCTGGAGAATGAACCTCATTCACCAGTTTCACACAGGACCTCTTCGCCTGTCTCCATGACCTTAGGGAAGAACTGGAAAAAGAATCCCTCTCAAGAATGATTTTTACATTTTACTTTCGGCCCAGCAATGTCTGTAAATTAAGTAAGTCTAGATTTCTAGGTTCTAGATCTGCCATCCCCATTGAAATATAAGAGGGAATTTCTCAAGTTTTGAACCATTAAGCATGTCTAGATTTCTAGGTGCTGGATCTCCCAATGCCATTGAAATTTAAGAAAGAACGGCTCACATATTTTGAAGTCTTGACTACCTCAGCTGACATTATGTCATCGGTTCCCAATTCCACAGATCAATGCTCATGCTGTTGATCACTGGATTGTCTGGTCCGCTCGATTTTTTACAGACTGCCGCCATATAGCTGGACTATTGCTGAGTGCGGCGTAAAACTAAACTCACTCACTCACTCACTCAGCTGACATCACACCTTGTTCTGGGCTCCAACTGGATTTCAGTTCTTGCTTTGTAGATTTATATTTCTAAAAGAGTCAACTTTTATTTTTAGGATGAAATGTTAGCTGAAGGAGGACTGTGAATATTGGGATATTTGTGTAGTACAAAGACAACATTCCTTTGATAATGTGGCACAGCTGAGGAGATTACACATTTCTTATTTGTAATGTACACCTTTTATGTTGTCTCTCAGACCGGCGCTTCAGTATCATCAGCCAACAAACTGAGTTAAATGCAGGTGATCTTAACTGCTTGATCCTGATAAGGCCATGCTTCTGGCATTAGTGTTGTTTAAGTGAGAAAAATCTTGAAGCTTTCCAGAGCCCGCTGGCAGGTGACAGAAGAACCATTTGGCCGTCTGAAATCTGTGACTGTCATAAGAGACACAATCATCGACCAGTGTCAGTTGTGTAATTACATAAATACCCCTTATGTAGATTGTCAGTGTAAAACATCAACTCACAGGAGAGAGAGTGAGTGAGTGAGTGAGTCTGGCTTTACACCAGCTAGTATAGTACTATATCATGCAGGGATTACCTTGAGTCCTGTATTTGAGGGTCCCTGGGACTCATGCTTATAATTTTCAGGGGTCCTGGACAACAAAATGGGGTCCCACACACTTAAATATTATTACTAATACTGTTATTGTATTGCGTATCATGATCGTCACATTGTTACAGTAATTAAATTGCAAATAATACCATAACCCAGCTAGTAGCAAACTCAGTGATAACTTATTGTTACTTGATTGGAATTTTTAGAGAAGTATTTGGACTTTTTCTGCATCCCAGTTGATGAGCTAATAAATTTCGTTGCGTCCATTTTCAATTTTTATGCGTAAAGGACGCAGGAATTTGCGTCCTGTAAATCCCTGTATCATGGCATGTACAGTGAGTCACAGTCTGTCTCATAGTCCCTGAACCACATTATTTTCCCTACTGCCTTGCCCTCCTGCAATGCTAAAGCCGTAAATAAAGCAAGTCTAGATTTCCTCAGGTTCTGAATCTCTGGTCTCCCTGGGGCTCCTTTTCAATTTAAATGGGTTTGTTTGTTACTATCAAAATTAAATATATTCACAGACTAAGCGTTTGTCTAAGTGAGTGAGTCAGTCAGTCTGGCTTTACACCAGCTAGTATAGTATTCAGGTTATATCATGGTATGTACAGGACAAAGACCATAAAGCAATGCAGGTCTCGGATGCTTGCCACCGAAACCAATGCACATAATAAACGTAGAAACATAATCACATCAAACTGGGATTCAAACCCACTATCTACATTTTTGGACTACCCATCTAGACCATCTGTGTCCCCCTCAGTTGACGAAAAATATATTGAACATACATACGTTGACCTGTAACAAGGATATATAATTGCATGTTGTCATAGGTCTACAGGAGGCCAAGCTTCCTGTTGGGAAGGAAATCGCCACAAATATCTACAGCTTGTTCCGTGTTGAAGGAATTGATTCCCCCAGATTCCTAGAAACTGTTTAAACATACTTGACCCGTGTGAACCATTCCTATCTCGCTTACATGTTGTCTACGTGTCACTTCCATGGAAACAGGGCGACATTACTTAACTATGATGTCTTTTAGTGGCATTTAGAAGTTGTTACAGATGACCAAGATATTTTATGGATTTAAGGTTCTTTATTCTTTCCCACACAACGTTTCGGGATCATTACAGATCCCTTCATCAGGTGAAGTAATGAAATGTAATGATCCCGAAACGTTGTGTGGGAAGGAATAAAGAAGCTTAAATCCATAAAATATCTTGGTCATCACTTAACTAGTTTACCACAGTCGTGGGTTCCTCCATCCAGTCTAAATCACTGCAGGACTTACAAGAGCATGAATGATCAAACTGACGTAATTCCATCTCATTTAAGTTTCTATTATTTGTAGTATTTTGTACTGTTTCATACCATTTTATACCATCTCATAATAACTTTATTATTTTGTGATATGGACAAAAAGAAATAGTAAATGTGTTCCCAGCAGTACATCTCTTTAGTTACCATGAAGAATTTTTTTTTCAGGGAATATTTATTCACTGCTTAGTACTAACCCCCAAACATTAATATTTTAAGGATCCTGATGTTATTTGCCCATGAAAGATTTTTGTTCATGAAATTAACAATAAAGAACAGTAAAATGATAAACTTTGACAACTAATCATTTGCAGAGATGCCAACCCTAATTTAGCCCAATTAGTATTTTAGCCAAAAACTGATGCAAAACTTTGTATTTTTGGGCCAAATTTAGTAATAACCTTTCCAAAGAATTTTCATATTTCATACAGAATATATAGATATTCTAAGACCTTGTTATTAACATTGTACTCACCTAAATCAGTATCAAGTATCCACTTATAGCTTGATACTGAATAAAATGTGGTTGCAATTTATTGTGTATGGTACATATGCTATTGATATATGCTAATTCAATGGGTTTTTAAAAAAAAATTCGTATATTTTTACTGCTACCGTAGTCGCGTATTTTGTGTTGTTTTTTCGTAAGGAATACGATAAAATCGTATGAGTTGGCATCTCTGCATTTGGGATGATCCAATCATCATGAGTTATGACTAATTCCGATCCATTGTACCTCTAAGAGGCGATATAAATAATATACAGCTGCATCACTGCAGATGGTTGTGGGAAGTGTCAAGTGTATCACTTCCCCCAATGAATTCCTAACTTTGCACATCCTCTTTCAAACCAAATTTCTGCTGTAATGTCAAGATGGCGGAAACCCTCTCTGTGCACTTACCCGTCGCTTGAGCGTTAACACTTCCTGTTTTGTGAGCGTGTCAGCTTTAGCTATTACTGGGACGATGTTGACCTTGTGGTGTAGTGCCCGCATAAAAGATACGTCGAGAGGTTTCAATCTGCAGTGAGAAAAAGCAAAGTCAATACATGTAGAAACAAAAATTTTCTCAAGTGCATAAAACAATTTCAGCATTGTTTAGGTTAGCTGTGTTTTGTCTATAAATCTTTCTATTTAGGAAGATGCTGCAAACTGTTGAGAAACAACAAGTGGGAGAGGGACTCCTGTTCCTGCCACAGTTGGCTATACTCTGGCGACATGACTGGCTGACTGAGTTTGGTTTTACGCCGCTATTAGCAATATTCCAGCAACATCACGGCTGGGGACACCAGGAATGGGCTTCACACATTGTATCCATGTAGGGATTCGAACCCGGGTCTTCGGCGTGACGAGCCAACGCTTTAACCACAAGTCTACCCCACTGCCCACTAGCGACATGAAGGCCAGTGACACTACAGAAGCTGCACAGTTTGACAACCACTTTTAAGTAGTAAAATCCTACGACAAGAAAGAATTTTTAATCAAGCTCACACTATAAAAGATGTGTGTGCAATTGAGCATGTATGTGTTGAGTATTTCATACTGTTGCTGGTGAGCATCAGAACACATGGACACCTACCTGTGTCCTGAAGAGAATCTGAACACATGGACACCTACCCATTTCCTGAAGAGTATCCGAACACATTGACACCTAGCCATGTCCTGATGGGTATCCGAACACATTGACACCTACCCATGTCCTGAAGGGTATCTGAACACATTGACACCTAGCCATGTCCTGAAGGGTATCCGAACACATTGACACCTACCCATGTCCTGAAGGGTATCTGAACACATTGACACCTACCCATGTCCTGAAGGGTATCTGAACACATTGACACCTACCCATGTCCTGAAGGGTATCTGAACACATAGACACCTAGCCATGTCCTGAAGGGTATCTGAACACATCACCTACCCATGACAACACTACACCTATGTCCTGATGGGTATCTGAACACATTGACACCTACCCATGTCCTGAAGGGTATCTGAACACATCGACACCTACCCATGTCCTGAAGGGTATCTGAACACATCGACACCTACCCATGTCCTGAAGGGTATCTGAACACATTGACACCTACCCATCTCCTGAAGGGTATCTGAACACATTGACACCTACCTATGTCCTGAAGGGTATCTGAACACATTGACACCTACCCATGTCCTGATGGGTATCTGAACACATTGACACCTAGCCATGTCCTGATGGGTATCTGAACACATTGACACCTACCCATGTCCTGAAGGGTATCTGAACACATTGACACCTACCCATGTCCTGAAGGGTATCTGAACACATCGACACCTACCCATGTCCTGAAGGGTATCTGAACACATCGACACCTATCCATGTCCTGAAGGGTATCTGAACACATTGACACCTACCCATGTCCTGAAGAGTATCCGAACACATTGACACCTACCCATGTCCTGATGGGTATCTGAACACATTGACACCTACCCATGTCCTGATGGGTATCTGAACACATTGACACCTACCCATGTCCTGAAGGGTATCTGAACACATTGACACCTACCTATGTCCTGAAGAGTATCCGAACACATCGACACCTACCCACGTATTGAAGGGTATCTGAACACATTGACACCTACCCATGTCCTGAAGGGTTGATGAAGTAGAAGCAGGAGTGGACGCGGTTGTCGATGATGTGTCTTCTGTTCAGCCCGCTCTCATCTTGTAGGTACCTTTCAAACTGGTCGTCAACATACTGGATGATTGGCTTGAAGCTGAAAAACACAAGCACACACTAAATTCTACAACAACAATTGTGTTAAAACAGCATAGGACTGTGGAACACAAGAAGCGAAAACAGTTTTGTTTTACCAAGTATCATTAATAATCAGTAGGGTAAAGGTAATTTGATGTGAAAAACTGTATAATGATATAGCTGAGAGTAGGCTACTTGAGCTGAGAAGCAGACAGGTATAGGCTGCCAGAACAAAGAATGTGATTACAACGGCGAGGGAGGATATAGGGTCTGTCAGAGAGACCAGCTATTCAATGCTGACCAGTCTTGTGAGTTCAATGAGTCTCCGAATCCTGGCGTGTCCACGACAGTCAACCTCAGCTTCACTCCCCGCTCTTCAATCTCCACGGTGGAAGCATCAATCTTTACAGTTTGCTGGATTTTTTCTGCAATAAACAATATGGAAATAAATTGAAGAAGTACAGTATACTACACAATCAAGGCTGCGTCAAGCAGTACAGACTTGGAGCAAGGCTACATCAAGCAGTACAGACTTGGAGCAAGTCTACATCAAGCAGTACAGACTTGGAGCAAGGCTACATCAAGCAGTACAGACTTGGAGCAAGTCTACATCAAGCAGTACAGACTTAGAGCAAGTCTTGGAGCAAGGCTACATCAAGCAGTACAGACTTGGAGCAAGTCTACATCAAGCAGTACAGACTTGGAGCAAGTCTACATCAAGCAGTACAGACTTGGAGCAAGTCTACATCAAGCAGTACAGACTTGCAGCAAGTCTACATCAAGCAGTACAGACTTGCAGCAAGTCTACATCAAGCAGTACAGACTTGGAGCAAGTCTACATCAAGCAGTACAGACTTGGAGCAAGTCTACATACATCAAGCAGTACAGACTTGGAGCAAGTCTACATCAAGCAGTACAGACTTGGAGCAAGGCTACATCAAGCAGTACAGACTTGGAGCAAGTCTACATACATCAAGCAGTACAGACTTGGAGCAAGTCTACATCAAGCAGTACAGACTTGGAGCAAGGCTACATCAAGCAGTACAGACTTGGAGCAAGTCTACATACATCAAGCAGTACAGACTTGGAGCAAGGCTACATCAAGCAGTACAGACTTGGAGCAAGTCTACATACATCAAGCAGTACAGACTTGGAGCAAGTCTACATACAAGCAGTACAGACTTGGAGCAAGTCTACATCAAGCAGTAAAAACTTGGAGCAAGTCCACATCAAGCAGTACAGACTTGGAGCATCTACATACATCAAGCAGTACTGACTTTGAGGAAGTCTACATCAAGCAGTACAGACTTGGAGCAAGGCTACATCAAGCAGTACAGACTTGGAGCAAGTCTACATACATCAAGCAGTACAGACTTGGAGCAAGGCTACATCAAGCAGTACAGACTTGGAGCAAGGCTACATCAAGCAGTACAGACTTGGAGCAAGTCTACATACATCACGCAGCAGTACAGACTTGGAGCAAGGCTACATCAAGCAGTACAGACTTGGAGCAAGTCTACATCAAGCAGTACAGACTTGGAGCAGTCTACACCAAGCAGTACAGACTTGGAGCAAGTCTACATCAAGCAGTACAGACTTGGAGCAAGTCTACATCAAGCAGTACAGACTTGGAGCAAGTCTACATCATCAAGCAGTACAGACTTGGAGCAAGTCTACATCAAGCAGTACAGACTTGGAGCAAGTCTACATCAAGCAGTACAGACTTGCAGCAAGTCTACATCAAGCAGAACAGACTTGGAGCAAGTCTACATCAAGCAGTACAGACTTGGAGCAAGTCTACATCAAGCAGAACAGACTTGGAGCAAGTCTACATCAAGCAGTACAGCAGTCGGTGCAGACTGCAGTGAAACTGATCTCTGACATGGAGGATGTAGACAAGTGTGAAGGAATGTGAGACTATCAAGTCCATCAAGCACCTGCTGTTGGTACATGCCAGTCTTCAACACATGGCGGCTGGCACACGTTGATACAGGCAAGCCACACAAATGTCAAAACAAAAATATTGCTCAATTGCTTTTCTCGAGCAAAACAATCCATATCACCTGCACACTGTCTGTGTTAAGAGTGACATGAGGTGAAATGGGGTTTAACATTGGTCGCAGGTGTGTACATCTTTCTGTTTGTAATTGTTCGGATCCATGCTTGAAACATCACAGGAATATTTTTTATCTGAGTCAATAACAGTAAATAACACTGTTGTCTAACACCAGAATGGTAGAAGCCTGTTAATAGTCCAGTTGAGACAAACCTGCGGTTGATATCATGAGCAGTGTTATCAGGCTCGGCAATTCCACTTGTCCGCTCGTATTGACGAGTAAAATTCAGGCAAGTGAAAAACATAATTTGCTTGTCCAGAGGACGAGTAAGTTTTCTGATCCATAAGTAACATTTTTCTTTCTCATTGAAGTTCAGCTATCTTAAATGGTGAACGAATTCAATTTTGTCAAAGATTTTGTACAGAAGACAAAGTAAGTAATGTTTATTGTAGTTTTATTCCAAGCAAACATTTTGAAATAAAATAATTTAAATTTGTATTCATTGTGATGCATGATCTAAGAGGAAAGTACAAGTTTAGAAGGACGAGTGGAAAGTTCATATTACTTGCCTGCATGGCGAGTGCAGATTTTTGAATTTTTATATACCATGGAAGTATATGCCTTCACAAGTAACTAGGTCTGACCACCTGATACATTTAATCACTTTTAATTGTGAGGTGAGCTGAGGTTTAACGTCGCACTTAGGAATATTTTCCTCATATGACGACGTGCATGCATGTGTATGTATATGTGCGGCTGCTTGTACATGCCCAGACTTAAGCTGGTTTTATAGTGCTAGCTCACTGAGATACCTCGCCGCAGTACCTTATTTGAACGTCTTTTGGTGTGATGCGGCCGGGGATCGCGACCTTCACTTTTAATTACCAGTACTGACTCCGAACTCTTGTGTAAGAAGGCTGCAGTGGTGCAATAGCTTGGACTGGCATATGAAGCGGATACGTCAAATCGAAGAGGATAATTTACTTTTTTTCTGCAGTTGTTGGGAAGATTCTAACATACATTATGATATTCTGTACCTTGTTGTTATCTGTGAGTTGTTAACCTGACTTTATAATAGTTTTTTCTCAGCAACTGTAAACAGAGTAACCTGTTAACGTTATGTTTGACACCGAGACATTGAAATAACGTCTGAAGTGATATGAAAAGCATGGTCACTCATTCTTTGTTTGAAATTATCAATGTTTGACCAGATCACCATGGAAACAAGACTGTTAAGACAATGAGCACCAGAGTGTACATAAAGGTGACCAGTCTGCAGCAGCTGTTTGAGGAGAGGCAGTTTGTAATTACAGTCATCCATCACTGGTCACAGGTCAGTGGGTGGTCAGTGGCATGGATCAGTTGGTCTGTTAACCGAGATCCTGCTGATAGACAGCCAAGAGCTACTCAGTTCTAGGGGGCTCTCAGGGGGAACAACTAGACTACAACATCACTGATACTACTCCACTTTTCATAGGGATAAGCTGATGATAAAAGTGGGGGGCATTGGTTTTTGCTTCAGGGTCTGTACGCGTTTTAGCAATAATCCAGCAACATCATGGTGGGTGACACCAGAAATTCACGTGTGGTGACACCAGAAATGGGCTTCATACATTGTACCCATGTGGGATTGAACCCAGTTCTTCAGCATGATGAGCAAACGCCTTAACCACTAAGCTGCCCTATCGCCCCTCCTGCTGATAGACAGCCAAGACCTACCCAGTTCAACGGGGCTCTCAGAGGGAACAGATATACATATATACCACTCCACTTTTGATAGGGATACTTCCATGATGCACAAAATTGATTCTCATGTGCCAACTGTGCATTTGAATAAACAGGCATAAAACAATCCCTAACAAAAGTTGAGTCATATACATAGCTGTATTCCTCCAATGAGTGAAGATGAATATCTTTTTGAAAGAGAGAACAAAAGGGGTCAAACAAAAAGAGTAAAATAAAGAGAGAAAAGAAATACCCCCTGAACAATTTTTCCAATCTAATTTAATTTTAAAATATATCAGAAAACACTTAAGATCATTATTCTTACAAAACAGACTGTTTGTGTGCTAGATAGTACCTTGTCATTTCAAAAAGCAAATAATAAACAACAATAATACCTCTAGAAAAGTTGGCTAAAACACTTCTGAGCTGCTATCAAAACATATTAATTTGCGAGTACAGCTAACAAGGAAATCCATGACTCCATGATGCAGTGCGTCATCCCACACTGAGGCAAGCACATATGCCTACAGCAACAAAATCAACATATTATTAAAAGTTGTTTACAGGCAGTGTTCTGGTGGTCACAAGGTGCAGGTTATAGTTATTTAATCCCTGCCTGATGCTTATAATTACACATCTGGTTTATACTTACATAGGATCGGCCCAACAACTACCTTTACTGGCAACGTGCATCAGATGGCTTACGTATGTTTATGTTCATTTTGCAGGCACCTCCAGTTAAAGTTTCCAGCAAGTTCATTATTTTATGTCAAAGACCTAAATGGGTCCTAACATGTTTTGTTGTACATGTATTTCATGTATCAGATGAAAGGATTGTTCAGAGTTCCTTTCTAATCTCTTTCGAAAATCAATCAAACCAAACTGTTAATATTAGACTAAGAGTTAGTCTCTAAGACTAAACTAATATATTCAGATATGTTTAGCAACAAATGTCTTTTAAGGATAACAAAAAGAAGTCCAGAGAAGACCTGTAGCAATCTAGAAGTGCCACAGTATGGTTGACTCGCTTGGAATTTTCTGATATTTTTTTCCACAGGATTGTAGGAGAGTGAGTGAGTGAGTGAGTTTAGTTTTCACGCTGATATCTCACGCTTTTAGCAATATTCCAGCAATATCACGGCGGAAACCAGAAATGGGCTTCACACATTGTACCAATGTAGGGGAATCGAACCCAGGTCTTGGTGACAAGCGGCAGCAACGCTTTAACCACTGAGCATGTACGCTACCCACACCCTGTAGGAGAGAGGGGTGATGGGGCAACCAAGTGGTTTAAGTGTTTGTCATACTGAAGAACCAGGTTTTATTCCCATTGGTTGGTACAAAGGTGTCTGGTGTCCCCTGGCGAGATATTGCTCAGTTTGTAAAACCTACCTTATTAAGCACAAACAGTGAAACTTCAGAAAAAGCAGGAGTGAGTATTTTTAGGTTTTGTATCTTTAGTTTGTATCACTGAGCTGTGCTTATAACGTCTGATATTGCTAAAATGTTGATGCACGTCATCGCAGCCCAGTTGGTTAGAACCAATGAAGTACCATGTTACAACTGGTCTTCAGCAACCCATGCTTGTCATAAGGGGGGTGACTAAGGGGATCAGGTTGTTAGACTCCGCTGACGTGGTTGATACATGCCGTAGTATCACAACTGCTTAGACCGATGCTCATGCTTCAACTGACGAACAAATGTGTCTGCCTCCAAGCATGGTATAGTATGATTCACACATCCAATAGGCTGACTGACTGACTGAGTTTGGTTTTTACGCCGCTTTTAGCAATATTCCAGCAACATCACGGCGGGGGACAACAGAAATGGGCTTCACACATTGTGCCCATGTGGGGATTCAAACCCGGGTCATCGGCGTGACGAGCCAACGCTTTAACCATTAGGCTACCCCACCGCCCCACATCCAATAGGACTACATTCAGCTGTGATCATAAGCTACTTTAGACACTGCCTAGTGAAGAGAGTGAGATATTAGTCACGACACACAGTACAAATACTGTCCGGATGAATCATGTCTTTTCAGTGCAGCAGACAGAAAGCCACACAATTAATTCTTTTCTCACCATTAATCAATACCATTCATTCATGTCGTATTTATAACCAAATGTCACGATAACCTTGGCTGAATACTGATTTCCTAACAACAAATTACAAGTGTATGCCAGCAGATGGTCAGTCTTTGCAGATCAATTTGATTTGATTAACCATTACAGATGATAATCAAATACTGGTATCCCACAGCTGCCATATTGGTCTGAGAGAATACTGATTTCCTAAGTACAATTTAAAAGTCTACAGATGGTCATTGTGATGTCGAATAATGTGAACTTAGCAACAACCAAGGTGATCATCACTGCCATACCTAAACAAAGGCTTGTGTCAGTCTAAGCGCTATTTTCGTTTTGCACAACAGCACTCAGTTACTGCATGTGTTTGTTTATCCTTTACACTAGACAATCAAGCACTGCTATATCAGTGTATGAAATAAGCCAAAAACCCAGCCTGACATCAGGGCTGGTAACTTCAAAATGTTACCAGCCAAAATGGATTTAACCAGACCAGACACCAAGATATGAATCTACTGATATGTATGGAATATCTAAAAAATTTACCAGACCATCAGGCTGGCTAGCTGTCAATTTAGACCGGCCATCAGAAATCTAGCCCATCTCGGGGGGTCGGACGGGCCTTATTTCATACACTGGCTATACCATGCCCATAATCTTGGAATGAAAGAATACTTATTTCCTCACCACAAATTACATGTCTATATCAGAAGATGCTCAGTCGCTGTATGAAAATTTTGGTTTATACATTACATCTAACATTCAAACAGTGGCTTCCCCAAAGAGAACTGATTTCCTAACCACACATTCCAAGTGTGTGCCAGCAGATGGTCAGTCTTTGTACATCAGTTTGGTTAACCATTATGGAAGACAATCAAACAGTGGCATCATACAGCCTTGTCACTTTGGACTGACCGAACAGCATGAAGGGCACATGATCAATGTGTGGTAAGAAACAAAGACATATCAATGATGGTCACATATTGAGCACTGTTCAACTAAGTACCGTGTGCATCAAGTTACAGCTCAGGGTGCCGCACTGTTCAACTGTACCAAAGCGATCTTAAGCTATAAGGTGACTGAACTCCCATGGTCAGGAACATAGACTTAAGGTAGTCTTAGTGCTACTTTTGTTTGTGAGTGGGTTGTTTTGGAGCTGGTAGTTGAGTGACCACTGACTCTCAATGCTAAAAGAACAGTGAGAATCAGTGGTCAAAAATGTCAGTCCATTCCTGCATACTTTTCATGATCACAGTTAGTGGGTTGTTTTGGCTGGCTTACCTGTAGTGAGTGATGAAAGTCCCTGCTAAAATCTTTAGAGACTACAACTCAAACCTCTCCATGTAGTCCATTCCTAAACGAAGCAAACATATTCTTCTGTTAACAAGAAACGCCTTTTCAATTTAAATGGGCTTGTTTGTTACCAGAGACTAAGCCTTAGTCTAGCTTACCTGCTGCTGAGGGTATGTGTCTTTCTGGGTACAGATCTGTCAGGAACAAGCTGTTGACTAGTGTGGACTTTCCTAAACCAGACTCCCCTGTAAACAAAAAAAGAGTGACATGTGATGTACCATCCTTAAACCAGACTCCCCAGATGTGACCACCTCCTTAAACCAGACTCCCCCAGACTGTAAACAGAACAGTGACATGTGACATGCAACACCTCCCTAAACCACCTCTAAACAGAGCAGTGACTAAACCAGACTCCCCTGTAAACAGAGCAGTGACATGTAACACCTCCCTAAACCAGACTCCCCTGTAAACAGAACAGTGACATATAAAAAACCCTCTAAATCAGATTCTCCAGAAAACAGAACAGAGATATATGATGCACAACCTCCCCAAACCAGACTCTCCAGCAAAAAGAACGTTAATATGTAAACCAACCCCCATAACCTGACTCCCCTATAAACAGAACAGTGACATTTAACACCCCCTTAAACCAGACTCCCTTGTAAACAGAACAGTGACTACTAGGTGGTGCAGCTGACTCAATAATCTTCTGTATGATGATAATTTGATGCACATGGACTCTCTGGCTTCTGATGATAATTTTACATTAGATACAAACATGGTAAATTGACTTCCCAAGATAATCAGACTTCAGTTAACAGTTGTGTTTTTTTAAAATAATCCAAGCAACAACAAAAATACTCACCAACCACCATAAGCGTGAACTCGAAGCCTTTCTTCACGGACTTCCTGTGGACTTGGTTTGGCAGATTTGCAAATCCCACATACCCAGGCTGCTCAGGGTTCACAAACTGAAACCAACGAAAACCTGGGATAAGAATCACGTGACCATAACTGTTTCCATGAAGTGATTAATAAACTGTGTATTACAGTGAGTGAGTGAGTTGAGTTTTACACCGCACTCAGCAATATTCTAGCTATATGGTGGCGGTCTGTAAATAATCAAATCTGGACCAGACAATCCAGTGATCAACAGCATGATCATCAATCTATACAACTGGCAACCGATGACGTCAACCAAGTCAGCGAGCCTGACCACCCAATCCCGTTAGTCGCTTCTTATGACAAGCATGGGTTACTGAAGATCAACTCGGATCTTCACGGGTCTTGTCTTAGATGATATTGTTCAGGGAAGGGTTGAATGACAGCATCTAAATCTGACATCAGATAGTAGACTATTTCCATGCTCCATATTAGTTCCGTGCAAGAATAATCAGAACCAGAATAAAAGCAAGTTGTGAGGCAAACAGTACCTAACACAACCTTTGGGTATTCAATATATCTACTCCCTTGGTGTTTGCTCAACTGTCTGTAAAAAAACTTGCAAAAAGATGACGCCTTTGGGTATTCTTTGGGACTCCTAGTCTATTAGGTCTTTTATTTTTGGTGGTTATGTACAATAAATTGTATTATCTGTACAGCCTGTACACTAAGAGGGCAAAACTCTAGTTCCAATATGTGAAGCAGACATCTGATGCCACACCAGAGTTCAGTACGTAGGTATCCACTGGTGTTCTAGTCTGTCTCACAGTTCCTGAACCACATTATTTTCCTACTGCCTCAGCCTTCCCTGCAATGCTAAAGCCCTAAATGAAGCAAGTCTAGATTTCCCCAGGTCCTGAATCTCTGAACTCTCTGGGGCTCCTTTTCAATTTAAATGGGTCTATTTGTTACTATCAAAATTATATATATTCAGGGACTAAGCGTTAGTCTACTAGTGTTCCAGTCACTAGTGATTCTAGAGCAGTGTGTACAAGTTATCTGTGTCCGATGATACACAAGAGTTCAGTATGTAGGCATCCACTGGTGTTCCAGTCACTAGTGAGTCAGAAGGGAAAGTGTGAAGTGACCTTGACCCCACAGTAACCCTGGAAGTGCTGTTGGTTGTGCCTCACCAGCCTCCATGAGACATGGGATAGGTCTGCCCGAGGTGGAGATGAGGGACCCATGCCATATTGATGGAGGGAGCATAAACCAGCGTACAATAACGCGTGTGGTGGAAATAGCAGAGTTTACACATACAGAAGCAGAAATAAACGGTGAATGAGTGAATAAGGTTTTACACCACTTTCAGATATATTCCAGCAAAATAACGGTGGGGAGAGACCAGAAATGGGCTTCACACATTGTACCCATGAGGGGAATTGAACCCAGGTGGAGGCTGTAAACACGAGGCCACCCCACTGACCCCGGTATGCTCACACTGAGACCAACAAAACTGTGTTGACATCATAATAAACAAACAAATCTCCCTCCATGGCTAAAACCAACATTGAACTCTTCAATAAAAATATTTCACCAAAAGCCAGCTGCCTCTCATATAGAACAAAACATATTTAACTTTTCAATACAACTATTTCACAACAAGCTCACTTCCTGTAATGTTGAATTAACTATCAATCTCTCATCTCAAGGCAGATTCTAATTTTCCCGAAATAAACAAATGTAATTAGCCTGGCTGTAAAATGTAAACCTGACTTGAGGAATCTCCGCCCTGATGTGATGCAACTCAACCCTCACTGACATCTATGTACATCACCTGTTTGTGATAGTTCTTCAGGGGGTGGGATGTTACTTCAGCTGGTACCGGAGGCTTGGGAACTGTATCACAGGTTGAGAATGTTGTAAACTGCTTGGGGCCAATGTCAAGATGAACTCCCAACGTGAAGAGAGTTTAACAGGGCCTTCAACAACATCTCTGCCAGATCACCAGTCTGTGGCAGATCACCAGTCACTGGACCAGATCATGTAACAGTCTGATTGATGAGAAGCGTGTTCTAGATGGGTTTCATGGGAATTGTAACAAAGTACACTGACCAGATCAACGGATCTGACCAGATCATGGAGCTGTGTTTCTGGGTTTCATGGGAATTGTAACAAAACATGACCAGATTAGCATGGATCTGTGACATTAGGAGGGTTTTTACACAACTTTCAAAAATATCTTTGCCAGGTATGAACCAATGGATGAACTGGGTGTCAGTGTCCAAATGGATGTTGTATGGGATAACATATCAGGTCTAATGAGTAAGTGAGTTTAGTTTTATGACACTTTTAACAATATTCCAGCAATATCACAGTCTGGACACCAGCTGGGTTTCACACATTGTAACAAAGTAATCTGACCAGGGTCTTCAGACGTGACGAGTGAATGCTTTAACCACTAGGCTACCCCACCTCAAGACAAATGAGAGAAAGCAGGGTTTTACAAGTCACAGAAATGTGAATCTGACATGAATGTATGAAAATACAATGGGTCCACTGGGAAGCACAACAATATTCATTGGATCAAACTTTATGACACACAATATCATTTCAGGGCTTCAAAGGACCCCTGGAATCAGTAATTTGGGGTCCTCTGGGCCTCTAGTTTTGTAGGTTAAGGTCAAACCTTAAGGAAAAGAAAACTATGTCATTTAAATAAGGAAACAGAACAAACATACATCTGAAGACATTTTGCTGTAACTCTCAGGTAAGCAGTTTATGTTCCGGTATCCCAGTCAAACCAATCCCTGGATTCCCAAGAAGGAAGAGACAATGATCAGATTTCAGAAGCAACATCTGACCTTGGTTAAGTTGTAACCAGCCCAGGAACAAGAACCCAAAACATTTGTAACTCTTGAACACCTGGCAACTGAACCTAACAACCCCGGGCTGGAGGCTTGATTACCTGTACGCTGTATGTAAGTAATATTGAGCTGATTGGAATAGCAGAGCACTTTGTAATACGGCAACATTCACATCAAAGACCACAACATCCTGGCTCCTTCCTAAACCCATCAACTTCAACCCGAGACTAGAAAATGAGCTCCATTAAGGAGCTGACATCATTGTGACCCCAACAAGCACTCCAGTACACTGTAGTACATTAGGATCTTCAATTGGTGCTTGACTCTTTCTCAAACCTCAAACATGGGTAAAAATCACAACCAATTACATTCTGCAGTAGAGATGACGTCCAATAACATTCTTGCGTCTTTGATGTTTCGGACCAGCCCATTCAAAGTTATCTAATTGAATATGGAACATCATCTATAAGTGGAGTAAGATGGCTGGCTGCTGACTGGCTGAGTATGGTTTTATGCCGTTTTTAGCAATATTCCAGCAATATCACGGCTGGGGACACCAGAAATGGGCTTCACAAGTTGTACCCATGTGAGGAATCGAACCCAGGCCTTCGGCGTGACGAGCAAACGCTTTAACCACTAGGCTACCCCACCGCCTCTGAGTAAGATGGAGATCAAAGAGTACAAATGAAAGAATGTAAGCGAGTCACGTCAGTTTTCCAGCTATTTGGTGTGTAAATAGATGATACTGGACCAGACAATCCAGTGATGGACATCATGAGCACTGATCTACGTGACTGCCATACGAAGACATCAAATACACCACTCATCTGTGTTTGGATCCAGTATCAAATATACCACTCATCTGTGTTTGGATCCAGTATCAAATACACCACTCATCTGTGTTTGGATCCAGTATCAAATATACCACTCATCTGTGTTTGGATCCAGTATCAAATACACCACTCATCTGTGTTTGGATCCAGTATCAAATACACCACTCATCTGTGTTTGGATCCAGTATCAAATACACCACTCATCTGTGTTTGGATCCAGTATCAAATACACCACTCATCTGTGTTTGGATCCAGTATCAAATATACCACTCATCTGTGTTTGGATCCAGTATCAAATACACCACTCATCTGTGTTTGGATCCAGTATCAAATACACCACTCATCTGTGTTTGGATCCAGTATCAAATATACCACTCATCTGTGTTTGGATCCAGTATCAAATATACCACTCATCTGTGTTTGGATCCAGTATCAAATACACCACTCATCTGTGTTTGGATCCATCATCAAATCAAATACCACTCATCTGTGTTTTGGATCCACTCATCTGTGTTTGGATCCAGTATCAAATATACCACTCATCTGTGTTTGGATCCAGTATCAAATACACCACTCATCTGTGTTTGGATCCAGTATCAAATACACCACTCATCTGTGTTTGGATCCAGTATCAAATATACCACTCATCTGTGTTTGGATCCAGTATCAAATACACCACTCATCTGTGTTTGGATCCAGTATCAAATATACCACTCATCTGTGTTTGGATCCAGTATCAAATATACCACTCATCTGTGTTTGGATCCAGTATCAAATATACCACTCCATCTGTGTTTGGATCAGTAATATACACCATCTCTGTTTAAGTCAGTATCATCTGTATCAAATACACCACTCATCTGTGTTTGGATCCAGTATCAAATATACCACTCATCTGTGTTTGGATCCAGTATCAAATATACCACTCATCTGTGTTTGGATCCAGTATCAAATATACCACTCATCTGTGTTTGGATCCAGTATCAAATATACTGCTCAAAAGTACCTGACTCTATCACCTTATAACATGAGAGAATCGAGTGATCTCTAACTCCTTTTGAGTAGCATATGAAATCTGATTCAATTAGTTTCAGACTCTCAGGCTTGCAAAACGATTTCAACTTTTTATCAATGAGTGTTCAAATGTTTGTAATCAACTGACACAGAGTGAGATTCTATTTATCATTCAAACTTCAAACAGTCACTGACCTGGAGCATAAAAAGCTGAGCTATCCAGCTACAGGGGCAGGGAGAGATAAGGGATGTCGTTTGGTTGTGATCTCATGGCAACCGGCAAATACCAATACCATGAACATACAGTAAATCCAGGTCTCACCCAAACCACCCATCATCGTTTATCTACCAATCAACAAATATCATGTGTGTCCG